CTACATTGCACAAAAGTGGAGAACCTCTGCCAATCAGGTGCACTTTATGGTCCACTGCCACCAAAGCCACTGCCAATGAAACTGTCAAGACCTGGCAAATCAGTATTATGTGTCAGTCCTAAGATCAGACATGTCATTACTATTGGTGTTGATCCCCGAGTCAGACTGCCCCTACCCCCAATATGATGAGTTAGTAAGTTGGATTGCCACAAGAGGAGGGGGACAGGGGTGCAACCATTTGGATGGCCGTGAAGTGAATACTGACCTGCATGAAGCAAGACGATCACTCTACTGTCCAGCCCTAGTGGTTGGGTAAGATGGACAGGAAGAATATGTATTTTTTTGAAAACATGGGATGTATCACTGTACTGTATAATAATTTTTTTTTAAAACATGGGATGTATCACTGTATTATAATGTATCAATATAGATATATTTAGCTACCAAACATGTTAATATACAAGTCGTTTCATCAACTTATTACAGATAGAGAGGCAGTCTTCGTAATAAAAAAAGTCATAATACCAGTACTCATTCAATTTAAATGAAAATATGACATTCATAACTTAAGTTGGTTTATACAAATCAACAGGACTGAACAAAGATAAAATGTATGACACACAACAGAAAAGAACAAGGATTATATATATATATATATATATATATATATATATATATATATATATATATATATATATATATATATATATATATACAAAGAAAGGGGCACGTTATAATATATATATTATAATATATATATATTTCATAAGATCTTATCATAAGATAAGAGTTCTATAAGATCTTCTTATGGAACTCACAAGGTTCGTCAACATGTGCCTGGCTGGTGATATACCTGAGGTCATCAGGCCTCTCTTTTTTGGTGCCTCCCTCTGTGCTCTCAAAAAGAAAGACGAAGGAATCAGGCCAATCTCTGTTGGCAACACACTCCGACGCCTGATTGCCAAGGCTGCTACGAGGGTCGTCAGCCAGCAAGTGGCTGAATTGCTGAAACCAATCCAGCTAGGATTTGGGATCCCCCAAGGCTGTGAAGCAGCTGCCCATGCAGCACGAGCATACATCACCAACATTTCTGATGAAAAGGCCCTGCTCAAACTGGACTTTAAGAATGCCTTCAACATAGTCAGAAGAGATGCAGTACTTTGTGCCGTACATCGCCAGTTCCAGCCCCTCTACCCGTTCATACTATAGTGCTACAGTGGCGAGTCAAAACTGCTCTTTGGTGAACATGAAATCAGATCATGTGAAGATGTTCAGCAAGGTGATCCTCTTGCTCCCCTTCTTTTCTGCTTAGTCTAAAAAGAAATCATCGAAAGCTTGTCCAGCGAGTTCAACACCTGGTTTTTGGATGATGGCACTATAGCTGGCAACGTAGACCACCTCTTGGCAGATATCAGGAAAATAAGGGAGCAAGAAGTAAGCCTGGGTCTCTTCCTGAACCCTTCCAAGTGTGAAGTAGTCTCCTCCAACCCAGACATCCTAGCTAGAATAAGGTCTGCCTTGCCTGGAGCCTATGTCATTAGGGCCGAGAACAGCACCCTCCTTGGAGCCTCCCTCGGGTCTAACGCCATTGAGGAGATCCTTGACAAGAAAATCGCAGACCTTAGGACGATGGAAGACAGAATAGGCGACATCGATGCCCACGATGCTTTATATCTCCTCACCAAATGCCTATCCCTTCCAAGGCTAACCTACTTTCTGAGGTGCGCCCCATCTTACGATAACCGAAAGCTTGAAGAGTATGACCTCTTACTGAAGACCATGCTAGAAAAAGTTGTTAACCTCTCCCTCAACGAATGCCAGTGGAAACAAGCCACTCTTCCTGTCAGGCTCGGTGGCTTGAGTGTCTGCACCGCCACCCAAATTGCTGTCCCAGCCTTCCTGTCTTCCTCCTCAGCATCAGATGACCTGGTTAAGGAAATTCTACCCGACACCCTGAGTGATGTAGCGAGGATACAGAACCGGAATGCGACACGAAATGGGGTGCCATGGCAGACCCAGCACTCAGACCAGCCATGCTGAAAGTCAAGAAACAATCCAGTTGGGACAGCCCCATTGTAGACAAAGAAGCCACAGCTTTGCTGGAGGCAGCAACAACCCCCAGTGATCGTGCATGCCTCACAGCTGTGCAGGTTCCCCATGCAGGGGACTTCCTTTTGGCAGTCCCTATGTCTGCGACAGGCACACGACTTGATCCGCAGAAGCTCCGTATTGCAGTCGCTCCCCACCTTGCTGCCCCTATCCACACTGTTCATAGGTGTATTTGCGGAGAAGCAGATGCTGACGAATATGGCGTGCATGGCCTGCACTGTGGAAAATCTGGTGGTTGGCACACTAGACACGACGAAGTCAATGACATCATTAAAAGAAGCCTTGCCTCTGCTCAGTGTCCAGCGGAGAGAGAGCCCCGCAACATACTGAACTGTGACTCTGTTAGCTTTGCACACTCACTCGTGACTCTTTAGTTTACACACGCAACTGTAACCTGTAAACACGCCATTTACTTCCATATTTATACTCGCATTTGGGTGAGGTGATATGGTACAACAGTTTTGGATGAGGTGAACAAACTTGTGACAAACAAGACAGAATACAGATCAATGGGGGTATTAATTGGATATATGAGAGCATAAGAATGGAAGTAACTGCAAAGGGCCTATTGGCCCATACTTCCTCTTGATGCTTCTATGTTGGTACAGAGTCTTGAAGTCGGTAGAATATAGTTGTTCATTAATTGGCTGTTGATTGATGGTGTTGACTTTTTGATGTGTAGTGCCTCGCAGGTGTCAAGTCGCCTGCTATCGCTGTATCTATCGATGATTTGTGTTGTTTGTTAAGACTTCTCTGGTGATGGTCTGGTTGTGGGAAGAGATTATATGTTCCTTAATGGAGCCCTGTTGCTTATACATTGTTAATTGCCTGGAAAGAGATGATGTTGTCTTGCCTATATACTGTGTTCTTTGGGGCTTACAGTCCCCAAGTGGGCATTTGAAGGCATAGATGATGTTGGTCTCCTTTAAGGTGTTCTGCTTTGTGTCTGGAGAGTTTTTCATGAGTAGGTTGACCGTTTTTGTTGGTTTTATAGTAAATCGTCAATTGTATCTTCTGATCTTTGTCTGTAGGGATAACGTTCCTATTAATATCTTTCAGGACCCTTTCCTCCGTTTTATGAGCTGTTGAAAAGAAGTTCCTGTAAAATAGTCTAATAGGGGGTACAGGTGTGTCAGTTGACTTCAGAGGTTGCATGGCGTTTCGCCTTTTTTTTTTTTTTATGATGTCTTCAACGAAACTATTGGAGAAGCCGTTGTTAACTAGGACCTGCCTTACCCTACAGAGTTCTTCGACTTGCTTCCATCCTGAGTTGTGGCTGAGAGCACGGTCGACGTAAGCATTGACAACATTCCTCTTGTATCTGTCTGGGCAGTCACTGTTGGCATTGAGGCACATTCCTATGTTTGTTTCCTTAGTGTAGACTGCAGTGTAGAAACCTCCGCTCCTTTCCGTGACTGTTACATCTAGAAAGGGCAGCTTCCCATCCTTCTCCATCTGGTAAGTGAAACTCAACACAATTCCGCTCGAATACCTCCTTCAGCTCCTGCAGACGTCTGACATCAGGTACTTGTGTAAAAATGTCATCAATATACCTGCAGTATATGGCAGGTTTCAAGTTCATGTCAACTAAGACCTGTTCAATGGTACCCATGTAGAAGTTCGCAAACAGGACACCTAGGGGAGAACCCATGGCGACCCCATCTACTTGCTTATACATGTGCCCATCTGGGCTCAAGAAGGGTGCCTCTTTAGTACAAGCTTGGAGTAGTTTCCTTAGAGTGTATTCTGGTATGTCGAGAGGAGTACAAGCCGGATCACGATACTCTGCTATCATCCCAATTGTTTCATCCACAGGTACGTTGGTAAACAGTGATTCTACGTCCAACGAGGCTCTTATCCCTTTGGCAAGTGTTCCCCGCAGTAAGTCAACAAATTCCTTTGGAGACTTCAGGCTGAGAGCACAAGGTACATGAGTCAGCAAGCCGTTGAGTCGCTTCGCCGGTCTGTACATGGGTGTGGGTATCTGGCTGATGATTGGCCGAAGTGGGTTTCCAGGCTTGTGTGTCTTGATATTTCCATACGCATACCCACGTTTGTATTCCCCAATAATCTTTGGCAGGTGGAGTCTGGATTTCTTGGTGTTCACAGTTTCAATCAATCTGTTTACCTTTGTTTTGAACTTTGGGCCAAATTGAAAACACAGCATAGAAAATGAGGCCACGATGCCACAAAACATAACTCGATCATGAAGCACTTCACTCATTAGTTCCACCTGCGCACTACAAGGTACTTACTCGCTATCTCTAATCCTCTAGCCTTGAATCTGTCATTTAGCCAGGAAAACAGGAAAACCAAAGCCTCTAAATGGAGAAAGGAGGGTTGCAAGGACCCATCAAAGGCCCTTCATAACATTCATTGTCGATTTTTAGCACTACCTAACTCGGGACAATGATAGGATGTACAAAAAAAAAACTACCTGCAGGATTTTTTTTTGTAGAATAGGTGGCAACGCATGGCTTGGAATGCATTAAACTTGGAGTTATGTTTCAGGCGTGTGTGCGCGCGCGTGCACGCGCAAGTCCGTTTTCCTTACCCCTCGCATTGTTGTCCATGAATCTTCCCATGGTGATAATAAATAGGTACATGAACAAATTTGTATTATTAAATTCCCACAAATGTATAAGACTTGTGTTTACAAGGATACAGTATGTAGAAAAGAACCTATTTGAATAGGTAATACCTATTTGAATAGGTCGTACCTATTTGAATAGGTCGTACCTATTTGAATAGGTCGTACCTATTTGAATAGGTCGTACCTATTTGAATAGGTCGTACCTATTTGAATAGGTCGTACCTATTTGAATAGGTCGTACCTATTTGAATAGGTCGTACCTATTTGAATAGGTCGTACCTATTTGAATAGGTCGTACCTATTTGAATAGGTCGTACCTATTTGAATAGGTCGTACCTATTTGAATAGGTCGTACCTATTTGAATAGGTCGTACCTATTTGAATAGGTCGTACCTATTTGAATAGGTCCAATAGGTACATGTTCAAATTTGCATTAATATTCCAACAAACGTGGAAAACCATAATTTTCATAAGGATAGAAAAAGTACCTATTTGAATAGGTCGAAAGTACCTATTTGAATAGGTCGTACCTATTTGAATAGGTCGTACCTATTTGAATAGGTCGTACCTATTTGAATAGGTATATGTTCAAATTTGCATTAATATTCCAACAAGTGGAAAACCATAATTTTCATAAGGATAGAAAAAGTACCTATTTGAATAGGTAGAAAGTACCTATTTGAATAGGTAGAAAGTACCTATTTGAATAGGTCGTACCTATTTGAATAGGTATATGTTCAAATTTGCATTAATATTCCAACAAAAGTGCAAAACCATAATTTTCATAAGGATAGAAAAAGTACCTATTTGAATAGGTCGTACCTATTTGAATAGGTCGTACCTATTTGAATAGGTCGTACCTATTTGAATAGGTATATGTTCAAATTTGCATTAATATTCCAACAAACGTGGAAAACCATAATTTTCATAAGGATAGAAAAAGTACCTATTTGAATAGGTCTTACCTATTTGAATAGGTCGTACCTATTTGAATAGGTACAATAGGTATATGTTCAAATTTGCATTAATATTCCAACAAACGTGGAAAACCATAATTTTCATAAGGATAGAAAAAGTACCTATTTGAATAGGTCGTACCTATTTGAATAGGTCGTACCTATTTGAATAGGTCGTACCTATTTGAATAGGTCGTACCTATTTGAATAGGTCGTACCTATTTGAATAGGTATATGTTCAAATTTGCATTAATATTCCAACAAAAGTGCAAAACCATAATTTTCATAAGGATAGAAAAAGTACCTATTTGAATAGGTCGTACCTATTTGAATAGGTCGTACCTATTTGAATAGGTCGTACCTATTTGAATAGGTCGTACCTATTTGAATAGGTCGTACCTATTTGAATAGGTCGTACCTATTTGAATAGGTATATGTTCAAATTTGCATTAATATTCCAACAAACGTGGAAAACCATAATTTTCATAAGGATAGAAAAAGTACCTATTTGAATAGGTCTTACCTATTTGAATAGGTCGTACCTATTTGAATAGGTACAATAGGTATATGTTCAAATTTGCATTAATATTCCAACAAACGTGGAAAACCATAATTTTCATAAGGATAGAAAAAGTACCTATTTGAATAGGTCGTACCTATTTGAATAGGTCGTACCTATTTGAATAGGTCGTACCTATTTGAATAGGTCGTACCTATTTGAATAGGTCGTACCTATTTGAATAGGTATATGTTCAAATTTGCATTAATATTCCAACAAACGTGGAAAACCATAATTTTCATAAGGATAGAAAAAGTACCTATTTGAATAGGTCATACCTATTTGAATAGGTATATGTTCAAATTCGCATTAATATTCCAACAAGTGGAAAACCATAATTTTCATAAGGATAGAAAAAGTACCTATTTGAATAGGTAGAAAGTACCTATTTGAATAGGTCTTACCTATTTGAATAGGTCGTACCTATTTGAATAGGTACAATAGGCATATGTTCAAATTTGCATTAATACTCCGTGGAAAACCATAATTTTCATGGAAAAAGTACCTATTTGAATAGGTAGAAAGTACATATTTGAATAGGTCGTACCTATTTGCATTAATATTCCAACAAAAGTGGAAAACCATAATTTTCATAAGGATAGAAAAAGTACCTATTTGAATAGGTAGAAAGTACCTATTTGAATAGGTAGAAAGTACCTAATAGGTAGAAAGTACCTATTTGAATAGGTAGAAAGTACCTATTTGAATAGGTAGAAAGTACCTATTTGAATAGGTATATGTTCAAATTTGCATTAATATTCCAACAAAAGTGGAAAACCATAATTTTCATAAGGATAGAAAAAGTACCTATTTGAATAGGTCGTACCTATTTGAATAGGTACAATAGGTATATGTTCAAATTTGCATTAATATTCCAACAAACGTGGAAAACCATAATTTTCATAAGGATAGAAAAAGTACCTATTTGAATAGGTAGAAAGTACCTATTTGAATAGGTATATGTTCAAATTTGCATTAATATTCCAACAAAGTGGAAAACCATAATTTTCATAAGGATAGAAAAAGTACCTATTTGAATAGGTCGTACCTATTTGAATAGGTATATGTTCAAATTTGCATTAATATTCCAACAAGTGCAAAACCATAATTTTCATAAGGATAGAAAAAGTACCTATTTGAATAGGTCGTACCTATTTGAACAGGTCATACCTATTTGAACAGGTCATACCTATTTGAATAGGTACAATAGGTATATGTTCAAATTTGCATTAATATTCCAACAAACGTGTAAAACCATAATTTTCATAAGGATAGAAAAAGTACCTATTTGAATAGGTAGAAAGTACCTATTTGAATAGGTCTTACCTATTTGAATAGGTCGTACCTATTTGAATAGGTACAATAGGTATATGTTCAAATTTGCATTAATATTCCGTGGAAAACCATAATTTTCATAAGGATAGAAAAAGTACCTATTTGAATAGGTCGTACCTATTTGAATAGGTCGTACCTATTTGAATAGGTCGTACCTATTTGAATAGGTCGTACCTATTTGAATAGGTCGTACCTATTTGAATAGGTCGTACCTATTTGAATAGGTCGTACCTATTTGAATAGGTCGTACCTATTTGAATAGGTCGTACCTATTTGAATAGGTCGTACCTATTTGAATAGGTATGTTCAAATTTGCATTAATATTCCAATGTGGACAACAATTTTCATGATAGAAAAAGTACCTATTTGAATAGGTAGAAAGTACTTATTTGAATAGGTCGTACATATTTAAATAGAATGGGTATTCAAATTTGTAATAATAGGCCAACAAATGTAGAAAGTAATTTTCATAAGGATAGGAAAAGTACCTATTTGAATAGGTAGAATATGTAATGTTCAAATTTGCATTAATAGTCCAACAAATGTGTAAGACTAATTTTCATAAGGATAGAAAAATACCTTCAGTAATATGTAATATATATATATATATATATATATATATATATAATATATATATTATATATATATATATATTAGTCGTACCTAATAGCCAGAACGCACTTCTCGGCCTACAATGCAAGGCCCGATTTGCCTAATAAGCTAAGTTTTCCTGAATTAATATATTTTCTCTAATTTTTTTCTTATGAAATGATAAAGCTACCCATTTCATTATGTATGAGGTCAATTTTTTTTCATTGGAGTTAAAATTAATGTAGATATATGACAGAACCTAACCAACCCTACCTAACCTAACCTATCTTTATAGGTTAGGTTAGGTTAGGTAGCCGAAAAAGTTAGGTTAGGTAGGTTTGGTTGTCGAAAAACAATTAATTCATGAAAACTTGGCTTATTAGGCAAATCGGGCCTTGCATATTAGGCTGAGAAGTGCGTTCTGGCTACGACATATATATATATATATATATATATATATATTATATATATATATATATGTAAATTAATAAAATAATAAAATAAAATTAAAATGTAAATTATAAAGTATAATTTATATATGTTTAAATATAATATTGCAGTAATATGATAACTATGATAAAATATAATAAAACACTTACAGTACTAAGGATGATAAAAGCACCAATAAAAATGAAAGACTTATACTTTAAAAAAAAAAAAAAATTGGAACAATAATTTTCCTCAAAGGGAGCATAATAAGAGTATATGACTAATATTTAGACAATAAAGAAATATCTGTACTTAGCCTAAAACATCTATCACAATTGGCCCCATAACTTGACAAACTAAATTAATCTCGGTCCATATAAATTCTAATATCACACTTTCGACATTAATGTGTTAAAAAGGAAATTTAAAGTCAACATACAAATCAAGCACCAAAATACACATCATCCTCTGCAGATGTATATAATATGAAAACTTGTTAAAACTGGCCATGAGAATGAACTTCTCTCTCTCTCTCTCACATACACACACACACAGACACACACACAGTTTATGGAACCTAGTAGGCTCAGGAATCTGTTCACCAGTTGATCGACGGTTGAGAGGCGGGACCAAAGAGCCAAAGCCCAATCCCTGCAACCACAACTAGAGTACACAGACAAAATTTCATGGGTATGCAACTAGGCTAGTCCCAGAACCAAGAGGCATGAATTAAGAGGACAGGCTGTGGGAAATGAAACTCACGGCACTGGAAGACAAGAGTAAGGGGAGACATGATCACTATCTATAAAATTCTCAAGAGGAATTAGGAGGGATAGGTAAAGATAAACTGTTTAACATGCATGGTACACGAACAAGGGGACATAGGTGGAAACTGAATACCCAAATGAGCCGCAAAGACGTTTAGAACTTTTTCAGTGTCAGAGTAGTCAACAGATGGAATGCATTAGTGATGTGATGGAGGCTGACTCCATACACAGTTTCAAATGTAGATATGATTGAGCCCAGTAGGCTCAGGAAACTGTACACCAGTTGATTGACAGTCAAGAGGCAGGACCAAAGAGCCAGAGCTCAACCCCCGCAAGCACAACTAGGTGAGTACACACACACTACCAACAGAATGGTATACTGTTGGAACAAGTTAGGTGAGCAGGTGGTAGAGGCCAAAACCATCAGTACTTTCAAAGCGTTATACAACAAAGTACTGGGAAGATGGGACACCACAAGCATAGCTCTCATCCTGTAACTACATTTAGGTAATTACACACACAGTACTTGAGTACTGTGTGTATACACACACTGTACTGAGTATACACACACAAACTGGGTACCCAAATGAGCCACAGGGACGTTAGAAAGAACTTTTTCAGTGTCAGAGTAGTTAACAGATGGAATATATTAGGCAGTGATGTAGTGGAAGCAGACTCCATTAATAGTTTCAAATGTATATATGATAGAGCCCAATAAACTCTGAAATCTGTACACCAGTTGATTGACAGTCAAGAGGCGGGACCAAAGAGCCAAAGCTCGACAATAAAGCAAGCAAACACAATTAGGCGAGTACACACACACACACTGAAACTGGTAAAATAATACATGTTACTTCTTGGTCTGTGTAAGCAATTGCTCACTCCTTAACAACTGTGTAAATATATTCTGAAACTTATCATTCAAACATCTAAAATACATATATATATATATTACTATCACTCGAACTTGAGCATTATAACAAAACAAAAATATCAACATTTATTCCACATGACTTAGGCATACTATTGCTGCATATTACTTCTCTTACAGTTTTCCATAATCTTTGGCCTTGCTTATATAATAAAATATCTATTCTTAAGAGCTATAACTTTGATAAGTAAAATAAGTCACTTGAAGGACTAGTGTAAGTATACTGATACAACTATTTTGTGTCACACGATTACTGAACCAGACTGCTTTGCACTCCAGTGGTGGTGGTCTGCCGCGGGTACACTGAAACACAGGAAGAAGAGTATTGCATAAGTAAATAAATCTGGATTAACTCCTTATTTATCTAGTTTTTTTTAAGTCATGTATTGTAGTTTGTATTTGAAAATTAATTTTTAAAAAGAGTGATTTTCTTATCGAGAAAAAAATGACTGAAAATTATTTAAAGTCCAAGAACATTTGATCAATAACTAGGGAATATAAAATAAATTTTGTATCTACTGTACCTTTTTAGGATAAAGTACTGTATACTAAGTAATTTCTGCTTCAACCCTTATAAGGTAATGTACTGTATAAAGAAATGCTGAATAAGATGATTACAAAATACTGTTCAAACAAATTTAAACAGTACTGTATTTAAAGAGGTCATTCATATCTCCACTCACACTATACCCATACTCACAATTCCCTTCTCTTTCTACCAATGTACAGAAATGTTACTTTTGTTCACATTAACTTTTAGCAGTCATCCATCACACACCAAAATAATGTTCAACTAATCTATAATTTCCAATAACAAGGAGTACATGAAGAGTCGATCCTGCTGACTAATTTCTCATTATTAAAAAGTACCATTATTAATTTCTCCCTGACCCATCCCACACAAGTAGACACCTTGTCTGCCAAATGACCGACCACAGTGCCACAAAGCCAAGAGTACTGCTGCGACCCAATACATTTTTGTTGTGCACCATTAAAGATCTCTCTCCTACATATATTTTTTTTTTTTTTTTTTTTTTTTTTTTTTAAATCTGAAGCATTTTGCCACCATGGCTTCCAAAACATGTTGACAATGCATCAAACAAGACTCCAACATGCAGCAAAACCCCAAGAGGAAACATGTTTTTATTTTTTAGTAGAAAGTGACTCAGAGAGAGGTGGAATCAAGCATCCTTAGAATGATATGCAGCAAAAGGGAAGTAGTCTGCCAGGCTAAATTTATGTCTTATTGGTGCATTTTGGCAATAGTACAATCAAATGTGAAATTAAACAGATACAAGTGGCAGGGTGTAAGATCCAGAAGGCCAACTATTTTCTTTAAGAGAATATCTATTTATGCATTTGTCCAAATTTGAAATTGTGCAGGCTGAGACCTAACCTTACCTAACTTAACATTTAGTCTTGGAATGATGATCTGTGTAACATCTAGACCCTTTCTCAGCACCCTTATTATTCAATATATTTCTACATTTCGTATATTAGCATGCCTTTACTTTACAGTATACTTTATAGTGAACCTGTATAGAATTGTCAGGAATTTTTGCCCATAACATGTAGACTTGTCAAAAGCAGGAGAGCATACTCGGACAAACCAGGGTCTCATCCAGGAGGGCAGACTCGACTATTCGGACAAACCAGGGTCTCATACAGGAGGGCGGACCCGACTATTCAGACAAACCAGGGTCTCATACAGGAGGGCAGACTCGACTATTCAGACAAACCTGGTTCTCAGCAATGTTCGAAAAGCAGGTAAACATATCCATCAAATTTGATGTGCTCCATTTATTCACCCTACACACTAAATTCACTTTTTTTCTCTAATACTTTGACCATAGCACTTGGTCTAGGACATTAACAAATTATGACTGCATTTTGAGGGATTAACTGATTTTGACTAATTTCATACAAGTTCAGCAATTTCCTGGGCCTGATACTATTAATATAGGCATATGCTTTCTCCAAGTCCATATAGGCTATATGCACTGTACAATCTTTCTCACATATCTGTCTCTTATCCACACAATCTCTTCCACCAGACAACTAACCTTGTTCACCACTGTTCAATTTCATTTATTTTCTCTACCATTCTAATTATTCTGTCATACTTTTACTACTACATTTTGTACACAAATTACTATAACTTTTACTCATAGTATTCCTATTTTATTTTTATTCAGAGGTGTAATCATTGCTCATTTCTAATCACCAGAAACAACAATACTGTAAAAAGTAAGCCAGACATCTGAAACTAAAGGAAGTGATGACATTTCAGTCTAGCAAACAGAGTGGTGGAGTAAATCAATATATTAAGTCAAGAATGCAAAGTGAAAGTAGAGAAGGCAAGAAGAAACTACATGAATAAATAAAACTGCATTAGGCCTAATAGTGGAAAAAAAAAAAGAGGTGAAACAGACAAAAATATAAGTCTTTGCCATTACATCTTCTGCAGCTTTCTATATTCCATTGTTTTTCTTCCTACCTTCTCACCTTACACTTTCTATTCTTACCGATACATGTTAGATACCGACTACATTATCACTCTTTACTCAACTTCATAATGGTCTTGGACGGACTAAAACCCCGAAAATTTATTTTCAGACACATGGGTCGAGTGTAACATTTGCAATACTTCCCCAAGTCTACTGGCAAATTTTCCAGAACCACTCCATCTATTTTTCTCGACTGCCTTTTATTGTTTCGACTTGTATCTCGGCTTATACCACCAAATCAAATCCTATTCACATTTGCACCTCTTTGGTCAATAATGGTAATTAAACTTTCAAACCAGAGGACTGTACTGTACTGTATTCTCTCCAGATACCTATAATTTCCCTTTTACTACTGATCATATGCTCTCACTTATATCTAACATTCCAAACACTTTATCAGTCCTTTTACTGAACTTTCTTATTTCCTTTAAATTGTGCTTTCCTGTTTTTTCACTAAATATTGTTTAATTTTTCTTTCAAATGCATTTATTTTCTTTTTATCTTCTGCTTAAGTAATCTTTTTGTTTGGGAAAAAGTACTGTAGTAACAATCAAACCTTACCTTTTTCTTTTAGTCCTAATCCAAAATTTCGATAACATCGGACCATGAGGTAAATCAAGACTATGTGTACAATTAGACTTCCTGCGCTGGCAGCATACCGGCACTCAGCGATGAGGTTTTCTTCTTTGCTGAGTGCAGTCTGAATCATAAAAGAAACAAGAACAAAATAATAAAGGAATAATTAAGAAAAAAGAAGAGTTAATTCTTCATGAATACTAACTTTCCCTTCTTGCCTGTGAAATGCAAATTCCATCAGGAAAAAGATGCACACTGAAATCACAATAGCACAATATTAAATTAACAAATCCACAAGAGCCGTGATGAGGCTCTAGATCAAATTTGTTCATTAGATATATCATGTTATTGTAATTTGTGTGTGTATTGAAGTCAGGGCGTAGAGGTAGAACATTTGGTTGACAGAGCCCGGGTAAATGGGGAAATTGTGTGAAAACCCAATTGGGCTTGATTAACACTTTCGCGCTCTCGGCGAAGGTCACTCAGCCAACCGTATGTGCGCGCGGCGTTTTTATCGCTTAAGCGTAAAAACAAAAATGTGTATACTCTTTTTACTTTTCTGACCTTAGTTTTCATGCTACGTATTTCATTTTGATACCAACGTGTTCGCAATAAAATTCTCTAGAAGAACATCAGTAAAAAAAGTCACGAAAGCTATAGAGATACCAGCATGAAATAAATAACTACGAAGATGAGTCGCCGTGAGCGCTCAACAGCAACAAAATGTTTTTACTCTTGGGATTATTATCACCTCTACAATTGTCCTACAGCCTTAATTTTGGTATCAATGGACTCCCAATAAAATTCCCAACACGGTGATATGAATATAATCGTAGAATAATGGTCCCGGCCCACCCGCAAGAGTGTGGGAAGTGGGCACACTGTTACCCGGTAATGGTGACCGGACGACACACGCGCGAAACGTTGCTTTGAAAGTTTATACTTATTTCACTGTTCTGATATTATTATTGTATGTATGTCATTCATTTTTGTGGCAATGTTTTCGCAATAGAATGTTCTATGAGCTAAATTATACTACACAAACTTGGACCAAATAGGTGTACTTACCAAGGGAAGGCTGGTTGTGGAACAGTAAGTTGAGCATTTGTTCTTCACTCCACCTTCTTCAGGTTCTTCATTCCTGAAGTTGCTCAACAGATGGTTTGTAGGTGGAGTGAAGCTGTTGCGGGTGGTTACTTCTTCACCACCCAATACACCTTTTTCCGGTGGTAATTGGTGTAGCAGGGAACAACACAGAGTGCAACACCACAGGTCTTGCATCCATAGTTCGTGTCCTTCCTTTTACCAGACCGTGCGCATGCATGACACTTGAGACGTTTTGGCAGTCTGTAAATTTCATGTTTCAGTTTGTAGTTCATGCGATTTTCTGAATCAACAATAGGGCCAGGTCTTCTCGCTGGAGGTGTAACAGGAGTTGCAGGAGAGTCAGATTCATCTGACAAAACAGTTTCGTCAACTGGCAGTGTGGCAGACATGTCGGGTTCAGATTCGTTGTCTGTTTCATCTTGAGGTGGTGTAGTGAACAAAGGCCGCCTCACACCAGATGGTCCGGGAGTTGGCATGGCGTCAGCATTGGCAGGAGCTGTGTCATCATTTATGTCTGGAGCGTGCCGCAAGTGTTGAGATGATGATGTTGTTTTAGGCCACTCCTCTGTGTCCCAGTGCAATAGGGCCCAGATTGCCACTTCGTGGAACTGTAGCAATGTTAGCTTTTTTCGATCAGTTGTGTTGTATTTGTACAAAACATAGGCATTATGCAATGCCATTTGCAGGAAATAAAAGGTAATCTTTTTGGTCCACTTGTGAGTTTTCCTGGTAAAATGGTAATATTTAACCATTTGATCGAAGTGGTCCACACCTTTCATGAACTTATTGTACTCGCAAATTGCAGTCGGTTTGTTCACTGTTACCTGTTGTATTCCACTTGTTCCGTCTCGGTTGCGAATTCGCTTCCTTCGCTGAACTCGCTGAGTGTCTGCATTGTGGATGTTGGTAATGATTGAAACCACTCGCTTGTCTTTCCACAGGAGAATGAAGGTGTTATCTTTGCGGCGGTATACTGTGGTATCCAGTGGAAGTTTACCCTTGGCTAGAGCTTGCAATACCTTTGGGGCACCACGTAGCATTCTAATTGTGCCACATGTGTACACCCCACGTTCTCTCAATGTTTCTGTCAGGGTAACCGAGTTGTAGTAATTATCCATGTACAAATGGTAACCCTGGTTCACTAAAGGCTGCATCAACCCCGTTACTGTATCCACTATCGTCTTACCAATACCTGAGTATACGTCAAAGTCATATATGTACCCAGAGACAGATTCAGCAAGCATATAAAGTTTCACACCATACTTGTCTGGTTTGTTTGGATTGTACACTTTGAAGGATAGTCGGCCTCGCCATGCCATTGTACCCTCATCCAAACACAACTCTTTCTTGGGGATGTAAACTTGAGCAAACCTCTCTTTCAAGTAATCCATCACTGGTCTCACTTTTATCAACTTATCACGATTGTTCACGGGCACTGCATTGGTATTGAATGTGTGGAAAAACTGGTTTATATGCTGGAATCGTCTGGACGGCATGAACAAGCTGAAGAAACGAGCATGCCATGGCTTTGCTGTTTGCCAATACATCCTCATAGCTGGGAGCCTAATTATGCCCATCAATATGAACAGTCCTAGGAATCGCGCCATTTCACTCACCTTCACTGGGGTCCAAATATCTGATACATTTTCATTGGCCATCCGGAATAACTGCGAGGCGTACAAATTTGTTTCAACGGTAAAGAACTCAAGGAGGGCACGCGTGATGAACAATTGAATATAAGCCAGTGCACTAGTAGGCTTGGGAATTTTCAGTCCAGGATCTCCAGTAAAATCATCAACAACTGGAGAAGTATTGCTACGACTCCAGCCCTCACCAGCCCCAGCCTGCCGAGTACGTACTGTACGTGTACGCCTTTCAGCAGGCTCGAATGAATCCTCATCACTTTCCTCATCACTTATACTTTCAGAATCACTTGGCGCAATTTGTCGTGTGTTCCTACGACGAGTAACATGTCTGGTAGCTACTTTTCTAGGTAGCCTAGATGCACCACGTGTGCGCCGAGATGGAGGAGGAGGAGGGGGTCGCGGTGCCTCCTCTTCCTCGGTGAGGGCCTCAGTCTCCTCATCACTCGTTGCCGTATCATTCCCTCTAGCTCTAGGTACACTATAATCGTTGTGGGTTCCAAAATCTTCCTCCAATACCTCTACATCACTTTCAGCTTCTGATAAATCCTCCACAAGGCCTGGAATTTTCGTTGGTGTGAGCTTCACTCCGCTCCACTTCTTAAAAATTTGGGTTATTTTGTCCACTCTCGATGACCTGGAGGCTTCCTTGGGCGTAGAAGTGCTTGGGCCTTGACCTGGATCCATTTTTGATGAAGTAATTGGGTATAATCCACACGGAAACGGGTAAAAATGCTCGAGTTTGGCGCGCGAGGGGAGCGTGATCGACTCACGACACGTGACACGAAAACAATAGGCCCGTCACGTGACCGGGTAGGCCAACGCGCCAGGCGGCCTAGTGGTGAGAAAGAGAACTTCATGGCGCGTCGTTTGAAACAAACCCCAATGAAATCGGATTAAAATTGAATTTTATACAAATATTTTAAAAGAGGACATAACTTTATGTCCACTATGCGTTTACGTTAGACGAAACAGGACGCGCCGGCGCGTCCAGATAGCGCGAAAGTGTTAAGGGGGTTATGAGCTTACTATTTTAAAATTGTAAAGGTATTAACTGGGTAGACTGAGCTTAATCATTTCACTAAAGTACAGTACAGTACTACAATACAAATGGCAAGACTTGCTCCACAGTGCTATTCACATACGTAAGAATGTAAGAACAAGTGCAAATCTCTCTCTCTCTCCTTAGTTTGTATCGAGATTGTTGATTTTTATGATAGGAAAATATTCATATATGGAGTAGTTATGCCATTAATTTAGACAAGATTAGCCTTTTGACTAATGTACGTAAAAATTTTTTTTTTTCCAAGTGGATCATATGGATGCTCTTCAAGGCAAGATTAGCAGACTTTCCAGGACATGGTCATGTATGGTCACAGATCAATATACTTTGCGATGATTTCGGGTCTCGACGCCCCCGCGGCCCAGTCCTCGACCAGATTTCTTTATACTGTACTGCCACTATAATAGACTGCCACTAGTCGCTGAGAACTCTAAGCTCTTCTAACACTATTTTCTAACTGTTCTAACTTTCTAGCACTATTATGACCCCAGTAGGGTCATAATAGCAGTGGAATATAACTAAATAACATTCAATCTTAGTCAAGAATAACTAGGAGCAGTATATTCATACAACTCTTCTGTACTTCCATCCTCTTCTGTACATTGAATCACAAGCGACCCAATTATACTATTGTTTAATCTCATGAAATATACACCAATGAATTTTAGGAGAAGAAAAAGAGGCCAGAATGTCAGAGTAGAAGTCGGAGGCAGTTATGGGAATCAAAGAAGGGGCACATAGACAATACAACACAATGCCACAAGCATTACAGTTAGTGATGTATGCTACTAGTGCCAATGGTCAGGCATTACAGACATTGTCATTTTCTATCAGATTAATTCTAGAATGTGCAGCATTGACATTCAATCACATCATCATGAAGAACAAGAATGCAGAGAAAGTTCCCCAATTTGCTTTGAGACTCGTGTTAGAAATAAAGAAGCTGAACAATAAAAAATAGGTTAAGGGAACTCAATAATATAAAACTAAAAGGGAGAAAGACCATAGGAGACATGATCAGAACATGCATGATAATGAACAAATATAATGTGAACAGCAGAATAAGCTGTTATCAGAGATGATGAATGCAGTCTACATTTAGAGTGATAGTAGCAAGTACAACAAAGTACAAGAGCAACAAGAAATACTTCTACACAAGTACAAATAATTAAGGGTCGAGACCTTTCTCCTTCCCCAAGAGCTACATCTTATTCTCTCTCCATCCCTCTCCCATCAAATCACACTTACATTTCACAGCTCTCAGAGAGGAGTATCTTGGACCAATCCTATACATAGCAAGATCCTATTTTCTCCATAAGGGTCTTATCAGTATTTTACAAGTTTAATTATATGCACAATTTCTGACAATGTTCCACAAAAATTTATTATACAAGAGTAATCTCAATTCAGCAAACTATATGGGACCCAAACTATACTTCCCATCTCTACTGTACCCCTAAATTTACTGTACCTACATACAAGATTACTTAGCAAACTGTGAATTTCATTTATAAGTTATGGCAAACCCTACAACCTAGAACACCGAATCATCACGTGTCTATTATCCTCCAATGTGAAGAGAATTCAGAACAAGATCTCACCCCCAGGTATGCAATGACTGCCCAGGCTAACAGCATTGGAGCGCCTACACTTAGGGTTAACAACTCCTCCAGATCAAGCTGCTTCATTCCATGGTGAAGTGCCATGATGATTACACTGCCCTGAAGGGAAAAAAATATAAAAATTTAATATAAAATTGTTGGAGTAAACACATGGGATAATTTCATGCAAGCTTCTGCTTGGTAGCCAGCAATAATTCAGATAAGAACAGGCATCGTGTTGACAAATATGTCACTTGGGGATCAAGTAATTTTGGGTTATTATGAAATTAGATGACCAAGTTTTGACCTGTTTAACTGTTGGTTACCATTTCTAGTGACTGGGTTGGGATTTAATGCAAATTACTTGTAATCTGAAGTCAACTGTAAGATTGGAGAGCATGCAACTAAATTATTGTTAAATAAATAGTAATAAATGAAGATGGCAGCAATAATTATTTTTGTCTGGAGAATTACTTCTGTTTGAGGCCTCCTGGGCACCCTACCTTTTTAACGCAACAGCCAAACATTAAATAAACAGCATTCTTTCCCTTCCATAGTATCTGTCTGTTTATCCATAACAGTATTCTGTCTGTTGGCTTATCAGAAATAATTAACCTGTGGATAGTATTAATGTTAATTAATCTAAATTTCTAATATTGAAAAGGGAACTATCAGGAGAAAGCACCAAGCCATTACAACTATATAGCCCTTGGAAGGGGGGCCCAGGATAAGGATAAGAATATGGGATGGAACGAGGGGAAAGGAATGGTGCCCAACCACTTGGACGGTCGGGGATTGAACACCGACCTGCATGAAGCAAGACCGTCGCTCTACTGTACAGCCCAAGAGGTTGCGAGAGGGAAAGGGGATTGGGAGGACAAGACAGAAAAGCTTTACAAAAGGACTGAGCCAGCCACTTGGGAGCCAAGAGAACTCAACCAGTCAACATCTCAGACCTCACCAACACCATGGGGAAATGGAGCAGAGAGAAGAGGGGAAACCTTTGACCCCTGTCCAAGCAAAAGTCATCCACCTTCAGATGGTCGAACAGCTAAGAAAGGCCAACCTCAAATCTCTGGATCACATCACTATCTTAGCATAATAAAACGTAATTTATCTAAAACTATGTGAAGACGAAAACTATCGTCTATTAAACATGCAGTAACAACTACTCACCACAATCTGGGTGTCAAATAGAATGAGGGTGATGGCAGTGAACAGAGTTCTACACATAGCCTGGATAGAGCTATCTGCACCCACAGTTCTGAAGATGAGGTTCTCAGATTGCCAGTAATTGCATCCAAGAACCAATCCAACTCCTCCCATACTAGTACCAAACACTGAAGTCAAAACAAGTCGAACCTGCAAGTCAAAAAGAGCAATCATTGCCTTGCTTTCCGAGGCAAGCCTTTCTCATATTATTAGTTCCCAAATTAATAACAGTACTGTATTATATATGTTCATCCAAGTCTTTATTATAATTCCTAAAACTTATTTCATAGCAAACTAGCAAATAAAGCAAGCTGTTAATTTACATAAAAGTTATTTACATGGATGCAAAAATTTTGTAATATACACAATACAAATTATGAGTGACCAGGGTATATGGAACAAGATAATAGCTTGAAGTAACACTGCCAGTGCAGGGGCAGTGCCAGGGAGCACCCAGCGAAGTAATCCTGAATGTGTGCAGCTCCACGTAGAGAAAAAATAAAAAAAAATCTAGATCCACACAACAAGTCAGATGAAAAAATGCTCATGAATCTTGCTAAAAGTTAGACTAATACCAAGTAAATGGCCCCCACAGAATGCAGAAGTCTAAGGAAGGTTGGCTTGAAGCATTGGGACCAGCATGACTGCTTTGACTCAGGAGCACTACAGTGGACAAAGTTAACCACTTCAGTGACAGAACTGAGCTGGGAGGGTTGTGGAGCTTTGGGCTCCCTGTTGATGGTAGTACTTTGCTACTAACCAGTTCGAGCTATTTTTGAGAAGTGTCAATCATTTTTTCCCTGTTTAAGGAGTTTGGCAAATTTTGAGGCTTAAGTTCTACTGAATCCAGCTGTGGTGTATATTGGTGCATTGACTATGCTTTCCTGTTGGGTTGGTGGGGTGTCACCCACTCTCTCCATCTCTATGAGGAGGGGGGAAGAGGGGCAGGTTCTAGCTCTGGTCCCCTGGTAAGCCAAACAAAACTACACGACTGATGTGACCAAGAAGTTGGAACCAATCTCGGCGAAATAGCTACAGGATGCCACGGGGTTCCCCAGTGTTTAATGTAATGGAATGTGTCTTTCTGGTGGATCCTTGGTGGCTCTCTGTTGCTAGCCACCTAGTTAAACCAGGCTCTTTGCAAGTCACAAAGTCTACCAGGAACCAGATGCCTCTGGTTCCTGGCAAGAAATCTGGCTCCTTCACAGAAAATGCTAGATCACTAACCAAGAAATAAGAATAATTCTCTAATTTCCTGCCACAAATAATGTGGAACAAAACAGACAACCGCAAGGCAAATCTAACCAATTCTGAAAATGAGGCACACAGTAGTATAGAGTTTACTCGCTAGTGACACCTGCCGACCACCACCACCAGGAGCTCCCAGACCGTCCAGTGTAGCGTCTCAACCATTCACTTGGTGCTGCAACGTTCATATATTCTTCTCAAGTCGTCTTGGCCCTTTCAGGTCCCAGTTTTTCAGATAAAATGATAGAAATATTTATGTATGTGATGGTTTGAATGAGATATATTTGCCAATTTTCAGTACTACTGCACAGGTTGACATTCAATTTTGTTCCTAACGGATGGCAGCATTTACCAGATCCAAGCACCTGTTTTGAAGGTCATTAGACCGATACAAAACTTATTTGACTTTGAAATGTCTTTCTACACACACGTGGATGGAGATCACGTATCACAGCCAAGGCCCTATTTCTTTGATTCAACTGCTATCACTATTTAAACCAAAGGGTTAAGGAAAAACAATGTTTTACTTAAAAACAGAGAAAACCTAAGAGACTAACAAAATTCTACCCTATTTAGATAATAAATGTTAATATGAAATTTTAAATAGCTGTCAATACATGTGCGCTATTTAGAAGTAAAATGCTATACAGTATTAAAATGATCAAGTACAGTATGTGTATAAATACCAATTTGAATACATCCGATGTAGAAGTAGATTCTTTGACAAAGTTTATCACAACGTAGACAATCAGGATCACACATGAGGCCACGAATGCCAGCACCTCAAATGCCTGTTCGCGAAACACTCCATCTAAGATGTAAATTATGCAGAAGGCTGCAATTGATAAAATTGTTGAATAATATTAATGGCATTATTCTCTCCATTACAAATAAAAATAATCCTTAGAATTTCTATGCTAAACTATGCTAAAAACTATAAAAACAAAACTATGCTAAATTATATACAGTGAAGACTCCCTCTAATGGATTAACCAAGACTGAACCCCACATACTGGATGAACTTTGCTAGGGTATCGAGACTATTTGTTTTCACCATTTCTTGGTAAATAATATATAATTATGTAATTGAACATGGTAACCAGTTTGAAAAGGAGTATTTTATCTATGTTGCTCACCTTAGAAATATCTTGCTTCCCATGTGACATTGAAAACTCCAGTCAGGGCCAGTGTGACTAGAGCTCAAAAAAACGGGGACCTTTAGATTCCTACCTTGACCACGAAGGAGAGGCCCTAACCATGGAAGACCATCCCTGCACAGAAGGTGCAGGGAAAGTCTGTTGTGGCAGCACATGGCCGAGAGGCTGGAAAGACACAGCCACAGCCTACAAAATGGTAGAAACAACCTCCCACTGGAAACATGAACAGGAAAAAACAAGGCGGTGGACAACGTGGAGGTGGGGCCTATAACCGACATATACCTGTCGACGATTCCGAGGATCAATATCTGCTGCCCAGTCTTTGACCAGGCCTCCTGGTTTGTGGTCTGGTCAACCTGGCTGTTCAATGCAGCTGCTCGCAGCCTGGTTGACAAGGTATCCTTTGAAGGTGTTTGTCTGTCAAGTTTTCTTCTGAATACTGCAAGAAGTGGGCCAGATATGCCCTGTATGTGTAGTGGGAGAGAGTAGAAAAATCTTGTGTCTTTGATGTTGCTCGAGTTCTCTCTCGGCATGTCTATTGCATGTCTGCTTTTTAATGGTACTATTTTGCACATCCAGCCAACTTGTTTGCTTGCTCGCTGGCATGTCAACCGAGCCAAGTAGAAAACCATTACCACAACCCGAGCACATCCACCACAGCCCCAACTGAAGGCAAAAGGGCGCACAATCGCCAACACCGAAGCCAAAGCATTTAGACCACCCCAAAGCTGACAAAAAAAACCAGCCCCAGGACAGACCAAACATGAAGCACAGAAGAAAGGTGGAGACGAGCCCTGTGATCAGAGATTCAGAAGAAGGAAGGAGGGGGGGGGGGTGAAGGAGTGGAGAAGAGGTGAAAAAGGGGGGGGGGGAAGGCAAGAGAGCAAGAGTGTTTTCTGCTTTAAAAATCAGTTTGTCACTTTAAATACTTGTATTTATCATTAATGTGTAGTGTAATGATTGTTGGTACTCTTCAATGTTTTGATATAATATATGGAACAATTCTTACTCCAATAGCACTTGTGTCAATTAATTCATTTACGAGAGACCTAACTGGGCAATTTTCACCTGCTCATTGTGCACAGACACTACGGTGATTGAAAGGGGGACTGAGGGAGACTCCACTGTGTATAAGCAGGGCTTAATACAAATAAATAACATTCAACATTTAGATAATGAGACAAGAGAACATATACATAACTCATAATACATTTTCTATCTATTGTAAGTGATCTTTGATGAATGCAGCTAGGATTTCTAAGAGTTACCACAAATTTAAACAAGAATTTAAAGAAAGGAAATCGGCTTTTGACGAGTTAGTGCACATCTTCCAGTATTACTGTATATACATTGCTTCTCATTTTTAAGAACAGAAAGCTGCTGCAAAGCATTTCTTATTAAATATTGCAATTACTTTAATTCCTGATGGTGTTAGATAAGTTAAATGCAAGAATTCAACAAAGCTGTCTGAAGGTTAAATATCCAAGAATAAATATATTACTGTACAGTATATCCCATATCTTTAATTTAAAGCAGATAGCACTGAACAAAATATTCTACACATACAGTACTTGAATTGCCAACTACAGAATTGGTTGCAATTTAATGTACAGTACTAAGAAGAGTAGATTTTTTGTTTCAGTTCCCAATGCCTTATCAAGTCTATGTAGAAAGCAAAGCCTTACATCACGTTCCAATAAAAATGTGTACACGACATATGCACTTGTTTTGGTATTACAAACTGAAAATCACAGCACAACTTAACTGTTTACATTTGAATATAAATCTGCCTCATATGATAATTGTACTCCAAAATATGTCCCAATAACACTATATTAAAACTTTTTGAAACGGTTCCATAGAGGACCCCACAGCAACTATTTCATGGAGGACCCCACAGCAACTATTTCATGGAGGACCCTGGACGACTGTTCAGTCTGCCCTACCTTATAATCAACCAAACTAATGTCTGATTAATGGTTCTGTTATTCACATTCATCTTTCATTTACAGTTCATTGCATATGGTCCAGGATATAACCAATAGTACAGGAAATACTATTGGTGATGTCAACACTTCACCAACAGCAATACAAATATGCCTAATTAGCCTTTTTTTTGTATTATTTTTGATGACCAATCCACACTAGAAAATGAAGGGACGACGACGACGTTTCGGTCCGTCCTGGACCATTCTCAAGGCGACTGTGACTTGGTCAACATTCTTCAGCCACGTTATTGTGACTCATCGCCTGCATTATTTTTTGAGTTGGATGCAGTGTACAAGGTTGTCTTATCACACAATGATGGAAATGAGCATGTAGACTATAAATGACATGGAAAAGCTAATAAATATACTGAATTTGCAGTGTTGATGCAGCTCAAAAGTGCCTTGTTCAGAATGGTAATATACAGGCCGAGTCTAACTTATGAATAGGATGTATTTGCAAGTCGACCACTTTTAACTACCAGATTCCCCAGAGGCACAATGCCATAAATGGGGGATGTGTTCCTGGACAAAAAAAAAAAAATCAATTTGGAAGACAAATAATTTAAGAAACACTTCTGTTTATTCACCTTGAGCGATGGAATGCTTTTCCGATTATGATTTTTAAAGAGCAGAGATATACTTACTGTACTAGAGGCAATAAAATATGATCATTGAGTCCCTTTTCTTCAATAACCATCTGAAATAGTGCATTATTAGCACTATTTGTCATGTGTAGACTTCCGAAATTGTTTGGATAGTAGGATATGGAGCTAAAATTTGGATTTTAAAGCCATTCAGAAGATCAGGTATTGTTAGTCAGATGATCAAAAGAATGGATGGATTCGATGCTATTAAGTCGGAATTAACCATTTTATCTGTGAAGTAATCTTTATTAATTACTCAAGCAGGAACACACACAGCTAGCTTTGAAGAGACATTAATAATTTATTTGTCAAGTTACTCAAGTACTGTATTATCATAAATATTTGCTGTGATAACAACAATGACTATATAACTGATTTAATTGAAAAAGACAGTTTTATTAACTTTTAATGCTTTGGCAAACAGAATTAGCTAGACGTTAGAATTAGAAGACATTACCATTTGCAACAGTTACACCGTATAAAATTTTAAATTAAATTTAATATTTCATTCCCATTTCCATCTGTTGGAATCAATGAAAATAAACTTTAATCCAAGATCATCCAAAGGCAAATATAAACAATTTTCAAAATTAATTGGGATTAACCATAGTTTCCCATTTTTGACAGTTTGTTATACTGCATCAAGATGTGGAACCGTCTAGGTGCTTAGAGTACTCCATAAAAGAGCCGAAGGGCCTACGCTCAGAAAGACAAATATGTACAGTATGTAAAAACGAAGCCTATCACAAAAAGATACTTCAGAACTTTTCTCTCTATACTTAATGTCATTTTCCTCTCCAAAATAACGGTTCAACGAAAGAAAACTAATAAATACGTACCCGAATGAAAAATGAGCAACATAGCAAACACATAGTCTGATGCCCCTGGTGGTAAGAAGAGCAATCTGTAGACTGCTAAGCCAATTGTCATTAATGTTGATAACAAGCCTCCAATAAGTAGGACCCACTCTAAGAAGCGAAGACTCTGGCAAGTTCGTATCTGTAGATTTTAAATAAAATACTGTACATGCTAAAAAAAAAATTGAACATATCCACAACATTTCTACAAGTCTACATTCAGTGCATATGTTAATGTAATAAACAAATTATTTTGTGCATAATTATGTAGCAAAATAATCATGACAAGAAACAGCAGAGGAGTGAAGATGCCAATATATACAATACATACTTTTTTGCAAACTCAATGGTGCCATGAACACCCAACATTGGTGTTCCGAAAAATAAATAGTACTGTACTAGTATTGCAATACAGTACCAAATACTGTACCTTTGATACATGGTATTGCACTATACAATGCCTTTCAAGTTTGGAATTTACAGTATGTGTGTATATAAATTTTATATACAGTATATAAAATACTGTATAGAGTATACAGTATGTAATTTACCTGTTATCATAAGTAACAAATTACCATGCATTAAATACTGTACAAATATTAATAAGCATCAAGAAGTAAAAATTACAAATTAACACCATTTATATTTACATTGCCAAACACTGTAGCACGAGTTGCCCGAGACCTTGGTATCCCAAGATCTTCAAAGGAAATTGGGCGGTCTCTTCCCCATTCAGGTTGCTGCTGTTGGCCATCGCTGGGAAATAGATAGCTGCCCCCCTGGCCTTCCATAACACACCTATGACAACAAAATTATCATATTGATAATAAATACTGTAAAGTGTACTGCATACTCCTTATACAGCACTAAAAAAATACATAATTATAGCACTTTTTTTTTACACTTTTATGCAATACAGTAATTACAAACCTAAATCCCATTTTAATGTTCAGTATCTTTTCAAGTATTTTTACAAGCAATGTACAGTAATTAAAGCTCTGCTGAACCTCTTCACTACAACGATCAATTATTTATAGGCTGGTCCTATTTCTTCTTTAATACTGTACTTCAGTATTATATCACATCTTAAGCCAGTAAAAATCACTTTGCCTAGGCCTTATAAAGAGCTGTATTTAACTTATTGATGCTGTACATACAATTCAAGAAATGTGCAATACTATATTAATATTCAACAGCACATGCAAGAACAGGTTAATTCTATAGATCCAAGAGTTGAGATAGTCAAAGGAGAAAGTAAATTCTAAAAATGATTGAAGATGCATGCCTTGAATGTAATATTTGTTTCTAAATACCTCTAAAAAAATAAGAAAGAAAACCCAATGTTGCATGTACAGCAATGAAACGCCAATTTCTGGAGGAGCCCTGGTGCCTCACAGATGCCATCTTCCCGAGATTACTTCATACTAAAGTGTCACATTAGTCGCAGAAGTTTTGTTAACAAGAAACTCCAAGAAGGTATTTCAAATTATTGACCACCAAAATTTATCAAAACCTACTAAATTTCAAGAAGAATTATGAAAATAAATCTTACCTTAAATGAAGAATACATAATGTGTTCACGTTATAACGGATATGTTACGGAAATATTAACGACTTGTATAAAAACATGCTTGCTTTTGAAGATAAAAAATGTCATGGATAACCAAGTTCTTTTTTAGTTAACAATAACTCATGAAACTGTCAGCACTATAAAAAAAACTCAGAAAATCCATAGGAGCTATGATGAGGGTTCGAACCTATGCGCTGGGTGTTCAGAGGCACACACTCGAGACAACAACATCGTCAAAAAGGATTGGTACTATTGCACCCTCGAGGATTCCCGAGGATTCCACTAAAGCCTTTAAATCTATTTGACTATGTTGTGGCCTAGATGTCTAGAGCATGCGCCTGAACACCCCGCATATAGGTTCGAAGCTTCAGCATAGCTCCTATGGATTTTGTTAGCGTGATTACTCAGTGTATAAAAATAAACAATGGTAGAGGGTTGGAACACGTTAAAGTGGTGGAGGGCAAAACCTTCAGTAATTTAAGTGTTATATGACAGAGTCCTGGGAAGACGGGACACCACGAGCATAGCTCTCATCCTCTAACTACACTTGGGTAGTTACAAGCTTCCCTTCAGTATATGAACAAAATTTTAACTGAGGTAAAGGCTATCTAAGCATTCATATATTTTATTTGGCCTTCAGGTAATTTGACTTGGATTTAGTGGTTTTGAGTAGACATGAGGAAATTCTTTTAACCTAATGATGTTTATTCAGGTAAAAGTACATACTGTACACGGTCCGTCTAATTACCGCAAGCTACCACAAGCTACACAAGCTTCACTAAGCTTCCTAGCAATACGTTAGTAATGAATAAATATGATATATTTACTCATTATAATGTTGGTGCCGAATGTACAACATGAACAAATTTTAATCTGAAAAGTATCTTTTTATAAAGAAATTAGACGAAAATAAAGAGCTGGTGACGCCAAATCAAATCGACGATCCAAGCGTCGGTTAGGTTAGGTCAGGTCAACCTAACCTAACTTATATTTATTCATTACTAACGTATTGCCAGGAAGCTTTGTGTAGCTTGTGGTAATTAGACGGACCACTGTACATACTAAATGAGATACAATGTTGGATTTGTAAATAGAGCTAGTACATACCATGCCTAAAGCCACTAATACGCATAGCATTTCAAGCAGGAAATGGGAAAAACATTTAAACTAATCGAGATCAAAAGCATGATTTAAACTGAAATAGGGGGAAAAAAAATCTACCGAGCACCTCAGCCTACAGGCCCCCAAAGCAGGTTTTCTTGCAAATCACAGTCTTACCTCCAATTCCTGGTGACTTATTACTATTAAAGAAGATCTCTATCTGAGGAGATGTACACGCGCCCTACACGTGGATAGCTGAATAAGTAAGGTTATCACAGTGAAGGGCGGGTGTTTGTTAGAGATAGATAGTTGTGTTTACACAGCAACGTTCGTCAACTTTCCATCCGTCTTCATGAAAACCCAATATCATCATAATTCATTGTGTTGGGGCACAGACAGCTAGTGTATATAATTAATATATGTATATAATTAATTAATATACGTTAATTATTAATATATACATGTTAGGCTTATATCGAGGTCTTTCCCCCTCTCCCCAGGGTCGAATCACTGATCTTTCCCAGAACAAACTGACTAACTCCTCATTGGTACCTGCTTACTTATTTTTATTTATTTATACAAGAGTTCTTACATGCTTGTACAGCGACCAGCACGCATATCGTTTCGAGCAGGTCCTTAATCCTATGTTCCCCGGAATACAACCCACCAAATCGTTTAACAATTAGGTACCCCATGTTACTGTTGGGTAAACAGAGGCTAAGGATTGACGCCCGTTAATGATAAAGATTAAGCCCCCCCAAGAGGTGGCACGGGCATGAATAGCCCGTAAAATGCCCGTCAAGGATTGACACCCAGTAAATACTCTCCAGCCAGGATACCAACCCAGGACAAAGTGCTCGCAAAACGCCATGAGAGTGTCTTACCAACTACACCATGGGGGACTTCAAGATGAACAGGCCCATTAGGTGTTAGGAGACGCGCCCACAACCCGTCCACGACTAAAGTCCATTACATCCAGCGGTCGACCCCCCAGACGCATTCATAAATTTTAATAAAATAAATTCCCATTCAAAATGGGAATTTTCTCAAATATAAATTAATATTATAATATATTAGCATATTGTGCATATATAGGCATAAGTTAGGTTAGGTTAGGTGTTTAGGTTCTGTTGGCGATTATTTGTATTTATAGTAGGTGAGTGAAGCATTTACAGGGGTTGTGGTTCGAACAAAATTCGTCAGTGAAGCACTTGTTCCGGAAGTGTTCGAACGAAATCAAATCAGAATAATAAATTCTGCTTTCAGACAACACTCAGCCCCTTTGTTTAACTCCCTAAACATGCTAAACATAATCTCACTCCATAAATTCTCTTGTGTCAACTACATTTACAAAACCCTGTTCTTAAATGCAAATCCTGCACTGAAACTCTTCCTCGACAGATGTAATAGGACCCATTATCACAACACCAGAAATAAATATCTCTTTGATATCCCCAGAGTTAAACTTAATCTGTGTAAACACTCTATGCAAATAAAGGGACCCAGTTTATGGAACTCACTCCCTATTGAATTGAAAAGCTGTCCAACTTTTACATCATTCAAAATCAATACTAAAAAGTACCTAATTTCATCTTCGTAGTTTTTCACTTTTTGCCTTAAAATTGCACTGTATCTATTGCTACCCAATCTCCCAACCTTTATGTTCCCAATTTGAACATCTTTACCATTGTGATCATTGCTGTCTTCTTATATGTGCTGCCAATCTGCTGTATGGTGTTTATTAATCTTGTTTATCTGTATCTATTGTACCCAGTCTCCCAATCTTTATGTACCCAATCTGAACATCTTTATCATTGTGATCATTGCTGTCTTATATGTGCTGTCAATCTGCTGTATGGTGTCTATTAATCTTGTTTAAATTACTAATCAAGCTGTCAATGTAATCAATCAGAGCTTTAATATAACAATGTGCTTTAATATACTTACTAAGCTCTCTCATCTCATTTTTCTCTTGCAATGTATCTTTATCATTTATCAATTCTGATAGAAATTACCTACTTAAAATTATCTGTTAGATTAAGGACCTGCCCGAAACGCTGCGCGTACTAGTGGCTTTACAAGAGTGTAAATACTGTACTCTCCAATGTATTCTCACAAACCCAATGTACCTTCTTGTATATATATAAATAAATAAATAAATAATAAATAAAAGTTGTGAGTCGAGGTCCTGGTAGAGTTGTGGGACGTTCGAACATTTCCGGAACAAGTGCTTCACTGACGAATATTGTTCGAACCACAACGCTATAAATGCTTCACCCATGTACTACACATACAAATAATCGCCAACAGAACCTAAACACCTAACCAACCCTCTAACTATACATAGAATTTTTATGTATAATAATATTAATTTATATAAGAGAACAAGTAAGTAATTATCAAAGAAGGCACCAAGCCGGGAAGGCCATGCAGCACCATCAAATGTGCGGAATATTCAGAGGGCGCTAAATATCACTGAGGATGCCAATAAGAGAACAGAAACGCGTAAGGCGAACGATATCAAAAGTATCCGATTCACCAAGAATTCTATCGAGGGTCGAGGGAAAAGTGACAGCAGGGGACGGTCAGAAAGCAAGACACGCTCGTCCTGGAAGTCAGGAAACTCAACAAGGATATGCACAACTGTAAGAGGGACAATGCAGTTAGGACAATAAGGAGCAGGGCGGCGCTCCATTAAGTGTCTGTGAGTTAAGCTCACAGACACAAACCGTGTACCATCTACGCACAAAGACACGGGCGGCAGAACAGTGGAGAGGCGAGGAAAAAAGTAAGGGGACAAAGGGATCATCGGAGCGAATCAAGAGAGCAGAAGAATTATGGGGAGAGAAAATAATAGCCACGGAAGCGACCAGGACGAGCACCAAGCATCGGTTCCTGGAGACAGACACAAAGGGGCGAAAACTGTGAAATGAGAAGTTGGAGGTCAAGGAAATTGGCGTAAAATCCACGGATGTTCCATTGAAGAAAAGACATCAGCAAAGAGAGAGAGGAGAGCAACAGAGAGCAAAGAAGAAACAAAGGTGAAGAAGGAACACAGCACGCTAAAAAAGCACAGTCAGGATCAGGGTCAGCGAAGTCAGGGTTAGGGGGCATGGGTAAACTGAGTAAAGAAGGAGGGCAAGAAGCGGGAGGACGGACCAGAGGTGGACGAGCAGGGTCTGGAGGAGAAGGAAGGGGAGAAGGGGGGGGGCAGAAAGAGGGGAGCGCACCTCAGCAAGGTCAGTAACCGAGATGGAACCGGGGGCCAAAGAAACCCCCACAGTAGGAACAGGGGGCACCACCACCGAAGCGAGAGGGAAAGGAACAATAGAATTAGAGATAGGGGGTGAAGAAAGCGAAGCTTTCTTACCAGGGGAGGAGGAAGGAGAGGAGCCAGGTTTCTGCTTCTGACTCAAAGATACAGGCGTCCCAGCAGCAACGTATTGGGCAACAGACTCCAGTGTCTCGATAGGAGAAGAAGAGCGAGAGCGAACAACACAACCATCAGGAGAGCGATGGACGTCGGCCCGCACAGTCAGGCGGCGCGGAGAGCCAAGAGACGGAGGAGAAGGACGGGAAGGAGGACTAGAAGGAGAGGAAATAGAAGACACAGGAGACGTGACGGACTGGGTAGAAAGAAGGGGAGCCCTAGACAGAGAACCAGGAGAGGGACCCTTCGGGACAGAACGGAGGGAAACAGGGGAGGTGGTGGTGGGCGTGTCCGGGTTTAAGGCTCGTTAACGGTTGTGAGACTGAGTTAGGCGGGAAGGACGAGGAGAGGAAGAGCGCACCACGCGAGCATAGGAGACACCGGCGAAAGAGGGGAGACGATGAACCTCAGGAAAGCCTCAGCCGAGCCTCAGGAAAAGACAAACGGTCCCGGTGCTTCAAGTTGAGGACAGCCACCTCAAGTTTGTAACGAATACACGCACGGGAGAATAAGGTAGGGTGGGTCTCACCGCAATTGAGGCAGCGGGCCTGGGGAGAAGTGCACTCCAACTTAGTGACCCTAGCTTTCACACAGGGGGCAGAGAGAGACAGGACTAGAGCATTTGAGGGTACCATGCCCAAACTTCCAGCACTTACTGCAGAGCCGAGGAGATGGAATATACTCCTGAACGGAGCACCTGGCACCAGCAAGAATGACAGAGGACGGAAGGGTCCTACCATCAAAGGTAACCTTCACAACCCGAAGGGGCAGACGGCGATGACCACGAGGGGGACGAGTAAATGTATCCACCTGGAGGACAGAATGACCCTGGGCCTCGAGGATATGCTTGATATCCTCGTGGCAGTCCTTGAGATCCCTAACACCGGTCGCAACATGGTGCGGGAGGAGAACAGTGCCAACACTGGCATTCAATCGAGCGTTCTTCGAGACCCGAACAGGGGTCTCGCCAAGGCAGGATAAGGCGGCCAAGCGAGTGGCCGCATCCTGAGAAGGAGCAGCAACGACACGGGTACCAAGACGAGTGGGGTTGAAGGTGACAGAGGCATCCACGGAATCGACAAGATGCCTATGAAGGTAAAAATCGTCAGGAGGAGTTGAATCCAAAGGTTGGAGGTCAAAGTACTTAGTCCATGTAGCAGGACCAAACAAGGCATGGAACGAAGTAGGATGGGAAGGGAGAAGACGAGAGTGGCCGTGGCGGGGACGGCGATGAGAACCCGTAGAGAGAGACGGGTCGAAAGGTGCAGGAGTCACAAGAAGAGATGGAGCCGTGCAAGGGGACGAGACGGTCACCATAGCAGGCTTAATGGGGCTCGACCCAACCACAGAGGAGGGAGGGGAGCAGGGAGGAAGAGTCCGGTCTGGGCCTAAACCGGGTCCCGTAGCGGGGGCTACAGATCCCGGTCTTCCAGGACGGTCCGACTCAGGGGCCTGGTCATCCACCCCATGAGCCTGGTTAGTAGTAGTCAAGTCGTCATCCATATAGTAAACCAATATATAAGGGATGGGACCCGGAACCAAGGGATACCACCTACCAGGGTAGCCAGGGAGGCCGAGCGCGGACCAGTGCAGGAAGGGTGTGTCGTCCCCAGCGGTGCTCCCCCTTTTCAACAGGAAAGTCCTATTACTTCGTTCATTCTCCTACACTGGTGCTAAGACCCCAGTCCCCCTATCGCCCCAGCCTGGACACCCAACCATCCACTCAGGGCGGTCTCTCACAGGCGACCCCTCCAGCGGGTGGTCCGATGGCTCACAAGGCCCCTACATGGTGCCCTTCAGCACGTACACCACCCAAAGAGGGGGCACAGGCAACCCACACCTGTCCCAGGGAGGTGTACGTGAGCCCCTCACCACGGCAAGGAGGCACCACGGAGGGGCGTCCTTTGTAAGAGGACAGAGTGATACAACACCCACGAACGTATTTTTTAAGACAAAGCTCATCACTTTTAACAATATGCAGACAAATATTAA